GAGAGAGGGAGGGAGGGAGTGAGTAGAGAAGTGAGTAGTGGCGCGCTCGGGGGATAGCGGAGGTGAGCTGGGGCCGGCAGGCGCAGGGAGTAAGTAACTCTTGCAGGGGGGGCAGGGAACTGCTCCCTGCCCCAGCTCACCTCCACTCCACCTCCGCCATCCCCCGAGCGCGCCACAACTCCCCTTCTCCCCCCTCCCTCCCAGGCTTTTTCAAGGAAAGGGGGCAATTTTTAGAGGGCATAGGGACGGCAAATTTGTTAATCCACCACTGTGTACATAGTTCCAGTAATTATGTAGGTAAAGTTGTTACAGAAGGATGCATTTAGATGTCTGGCCTCAACTTTTTGAAAATCAACCCCCAAATGTGCATTATGCTCTTTTTCAGCAAACTTGAATGCTGCATTTTTAACCTACTTTCTGTAAAACAAAAACCATTCAACCCCCCCAGGAAATTGACCGATGCATGAAAACAAACAAAACAAAAAAACACCTCCAAAAAATCTTTGAATAGTTCTCATGCAATCCCTGGGTTCCCACATATCTGTTTTATTTGATATCTAACTCATGGTAATCCATGGTATATAAACTCAGACAACATATCTCTTCTCGAGAACTCTGACCACTGAACATGGTACATTTTAAGAATTACAAAATACAGACTGAGAAGGCAGTGTGTGGGGAAAAGAAACTTTAGCTTGTTTTTTTGTGGACCATTATATGTTTGTTTTGTATTGCCAAGCAGAAAGTACAGAAACATATTGACTGACTTTCACCATGATGATAATCAGAACTCCACCAGTCAACATAAGGGAAGGCCAGAGGAAAGCAAAGAAAAGGCCCTTTGGAGGATATAGCCTTATTAAAATGACACTTGTCTGTCTTCGTTCTGGGTCGTAATAACAAGGGAAAGTCTGATGCTTTCGGAAATTTTCTGCGGCAGTTTCTATTAGCGTTTTAACTTCTTTGTCGTTCTTCAAGTCTCGTGGAATATAGGAGCACTAAAATGAGAAATCAAGATACTTGTTAGAGCAATTGTTCTACTGCAGGATGTGCAGTGATGCGAGACCTTTCATAAAACATCACTTAACTAGTTCAAATAAAAGATTACGTGCACATATGAGAGTATCTCTAAATATTGTCTTGCCATTATCTTGTCCATCCCCCACCTATTTGTTGTTGTCTCCTGTCATACAGTGAGCCCCCAGTCCTGCAAAGGGTTACACACACATGTAACTTGATGCATGTGAATAGCGATTTGGAGTTGGGATGGAATTTCCCCCAAGGTCAGATAGGCAGGGACCTTTTTTTTGCTTTATTCTGAAGCATGGGATGTGGGTTGCCTGGTAGGATCATCTGGACATATCTCACCTAATCAACTCTCTACCATTGCAGGGGCATTGGGCATTGGGAACACCGCAGTCCCTCCTGTTGTGTCCTGAGGACTGAAAGGCTTTCATCTAACTAAAGACAGTGGGTTCAATATGAGGGGTATCTGGGTGAAATTTAGTGGCGTGTGGAGGTCAGACTAATGATCTGTTCTAAAGGTCTATTCTGGCCTCAAGCTCTATGATTCTATGAAAAAGTTTTATTGGAGCCAATGGGACAGCTCCTGCTCTTGGAGTGAAGCCCATGCATAATTTTTTACAAAGCTCAGGGCCTTATATTTTAAACATAGAGACAAGGGCTGTACTTTTTCTCTGAGTACACAGCACCTAGCTCTATGGGCCCGGACTGGGGTTTCTGTCACTACCACAGTACAAATACATTAGTTGTACAGAAATTCCTAAATGGGCTGGGCTGGAAGGGAGCAGAGACAGTGGAACAAAGGTATTTCACTGCTGATAGTGCTTTCACAGTCATGAGTTAGGTGCTCCATGGCAGCAGTGGTAGACTATCTTGCGGTGCTGGAGTAGGCTAAATTCCAATTATCCAAGAGTGCACGGCCAGTATTTGAGTTACTTCAGCGTGAGCTTCTCTCTGTAATTAGCGAAAGATGATGACCTACTTTTCCACTGGGGGAGAGAGTATTTTTAATTGGTTACACTATGAAAAAACTTTGTTGCTCTCTAGTGCAAGAAATAGGTAGTGATCAATGTTTATTTTATCTGTATTAATGTAGCACCTCTGGGTTCTAGATGTGATTAGTACCCCATTATGATAGGTACTAAATGCGCACACACCCAGTGAAGGATAGTTCCTGTACTGCAGAGCTTGCAGTCTAACTAGGTGAGACAGAAAAGAGCTGAGAGGGGAAATGATGTCAGAGAGGTGCATTTGCTTTCTCATTATAACACAGGAGTTCAGTGGCAGAGTAGGGAGCAGAGCCCCATTCTTCTGAGCGTCAATCCATGTTCCTATCCATTGGGCTCACACTGCCTTTCAGAGTAAAGGTGTTGCTGGATTCTTAATTCAGTTGTCTGCTGAAAGCCATTCTTTAGCCTCTGTAACTGGCTAACTTAATGGACAAGGGGAGAAAGCAGAGATCAGCTATCCAGTTGTACCTTCCTCATGGACAAGCAGGGGGCTTTCAAATGTAATTGAGAGTCTATTTAAAGAGGCATAAAATCCATTCATTGCTCTTAGAAGACAGCTTGGCAAAAACTGTGCTGACAGGCTTAATTTATTGAAGAAATTTATACTTCCGTTCAGGTTCACAATGTTTATTGCACCATTTCATTAGCACCCATTAAAGTGGGTTGGCTAAAATAAGAGTCCTTTACCCAAATCCCAGCTATTAGTTTGGAATGCTGACATTAAATTGCTGGAAATGCTATTTATTTCGGAGCATTAATCCGCAGACCATTTTGAAGTTGTCACAGTACTACTTTTTTCCATTTCTGTCATCTTTTTTCACCTTTTGAGCAGATAGTGTTTGTTGATCAGTTTAGTCTAATCTGGCAGTAATTTTAAAATTTCAGCTGTAGAAATGCAGAAGCTTTATCCCAAAACTGATAACCTAAACAAATATAATGTAAACAAAATCAGATTTTTTCCCCAAGCCAACAGTGACTACAAGACATTGAAAACCTGAAAGAAAATCCTCTATGTGCAAAAATAAAATTGGCCCCATAAAACAATAATATTTATCTCACTGCAAATGAGATGTTTCAGGACTGCCCTTTGATAGAGCAAGGCCTGAAGAGGAATTCCAAGTTCATGTAGACAGGCTGAAACTAACCCCTGTGCAGAGATTCACCTTAAAGTATATGTACCATTAAAGGTCCAGGTAATTCTCATAATAGAATTAACTGGTTTCTCTGGTGCATAAGGACTTGTTCTGGCCTCCTACAGAGGGATGAGTATCACCCACTATGCTGAATATTGGACCCTAAGAGTCAACTGCTGCCCTTGAACTTGCTTTCACAGCCTGCCTTATGGAAAGGAGAGTATTCAGTGCACTGTCCCTAAATGTCTGAGATTCCCTATAGTTGGAGTTTCACAGGGAGCAGAGAAATTTTTTCCCCAAAGCTAAAGGTTTTGTATGTTTACTTAATTTTTAATCTTGACATCTTAAATCCACCTCAAATCTGTGAAAAACATTTTAATATAAAAGCTAAATTGGCCACATTTTCAAGGAAGCGTTGACCAAGCCTCTACATTTAAACACTTTTTTTTCTTCTTGCTATCACTTGTGTGCGCAGCCCCTGTAATTGTGCCTGCGAGTAGCAATTCTGTACAACGAGATACTACATGTAGCTTTTCTATAACACTGATCTTAGAATTGCCATATGTTTGAACTATATAGGAATATAGACCTTGTATTTGCAAAGCTTGCAACAGCCTTTGAAGATTGACCCTCCACATTTCCAAGCTCCAAACTATCTGCATGTTTAAATCCCATAGTGCTTCATAATGTTTAATATATATTCTTCAGTCTTGAAGTGGACTTTGAAGTGATGATTGACCCAAGCTGCTAAATTCAGATATGGAATTTCCCAAACTCTTCGAAGGGTCAAGGGCACCTGGCATTTTGGTTTCGGTCCTTCTCTTATTTTGATGATATGCCAAGGAAATAAAAATCTCCTAAACTAATCCTTACTGTTTTTTCTTATGTGCACTCTGTAGTAGTTCTGTGCTTTTAACATTCAAAACTCACTCTACTCACAACACTCTGTTTCTTACTCAAAAGCAAGTACAAGACAGCATAATGGACTGAAGGCATATCTACAGCAATCCTACACTTTCTCCCCACATCTCACTTTCAACCATTCTGCAATGTATGAAATGTCAGTCTTTCCATGAAACTGGCAGTTCATTCACATACCGTACATTCAGACCCAGGCATTCTCACACACACACATTTTTTGCTTCCTATCTTATTCTCTGATGGAATTGTTTATTCCCTCTTAAAGCTAGCTTGCTGAGTGAGATTATGAATTTTAACTTCACATGCAAGAAAAATTTCAGTGAATGTTCAGGAATTCGCTGCAGGGTGATATTTTGCTGTTTCTATGGTTGAAAATGTTTCCCTCCCCTTCATTGAAAATGGTGTAATTCTGGAGGTTTGGTTCAACTTGCTATAAAGATGGGGACAAACTGCAGAATTCAGGTCTATATTCTGGTTTGGGTTTTGAACATCCTAAAGTTCAGGAGTGCTTGGATCTGAACATTTTGGTTTGCACCTGCCCCTTGAGAGGTGAGAGCTTGTTTTTGCGAAAAAAGCAGCCACTGAAATCTTCCCCGTATTCAGGAACCAAATTCAACCCTCATCATCTTAGCTGTTCTGAAATGGTTTCTTCACTTCCAGTGGCAGGCTGGGGGTCCATGATAAAACACTACAAGACAGTTGATTCCAGACAGGTACACAAGTGGAGGTATTGGAAATGACACGAGGACATGTTTTTTTGACTGCCATCCCAGGTTTGATCTGCCAAGTTATTCAAGACTTTGGACACTCCCTTGAAGTGAAGCTGAACTCCCAGCTGTCATGGTTCCCATCGCCCTTACTGGAATGGAGCTCCACCACAATACATGGTTCAACCTCTGCACAGGTTTTGTTTCAGTAACACTCCCATCTATTCAAGGGTATTTCCAAGCCCAATTTCCGTTGTGACAGTGGGTAGAAACAGTTGCAGATTACACCAAGAACAAACCCAGCTGCTGGATTGGGTGCCCACATTCCCAGTTTATTGGCTTCTACCTGACGTGTACCAAACTCACTGGTGTTTCACGTTCCCAAAGGCTCTGGGACTCCACCTTTTCCTCCTTCTACCTCCCACCTTATTTTCTGCACTCCCCAAATGGCTCTGTGTTTTTAATCAGGGCCACATTTAACCTCAACCTACCCCAGGGTTATTCGACAAACGCTTGGGCAAACCACATATGTTGATCTATTCCTCTGAATTGTGCTTCAGCTTGCAGAGATGTATGTATATTTTATGCTTATAAATGTTTAATAGTTATTTTTGGTTGATGTAATTACTTCTCAAATATTACCTTAAATATGTCTGATACCGCATTTATAATACATGCTAGATATGTCCTCACTCTGAATTTTTTAACATTTGCCTTGGTCTAAGCATAAGCATTGCCATGAAAAAAGACTAACAAGTCTTTGCTCTACTTTCAGTTAATTCACTAGTGCTTTGCTTGGTTATAAAAATAACCTGCTGAACCACATGTGACAAATATGGACAGGGATTCTGATGAATACATTTAAATCCCAGTACCTTGGGATTTCTTTCCTGTGTTTCTTCATTATGATAGAGCATAACCTCTTGTCCTGAGAAGTTCAAATCAACCAATACCTCTAGACAAGGATACTGGAAAATGTTTTCGTCACCTGCACCATTGTTGAACGAGCATTGGACTTTGTCCTTGATGTTGGTTTTGAGCAGTTTGCATGTAGTTTCTTTGGTCCAAACGCTATAAAACAAATCATACTGCTTTTAAATGCTTTGTTTACAGCTTTTTCACAGCGTGACTCTAAGTGTTGTTGACAAATTTTCCACCATGGTGGTGTTTCATGTGTCATTAAGCCGTCAACAATGTGGTGGACTGCGGATGTGGATGGAGTGTGTATGCAAGTGCTCTGACCCAAACCTAAACAGACAGATAGCATGGGTTGGGGTTAGAGGCACTGCAGGGAAGATATGGATTTTTACTCTCGCATTAGCCATTCATTAGATGGATTTAGAGGTAGATTTTAACTCCCATGCTTGGATGTGTTGGAAGTTGGCACCCCCAAAAGAACAACAGAAAAACTAGGGCGGGTTTGTGTGAATTCTAATATTTGTTGGTAAATATTTTAAATGTGGATGCATGTGTTTTTATCTATGCACTTGCAGAGACCTGAATGAAAATTTGACCTATGTTCTGAAATATAGTTTAGCATATTAGAGCTTTAGATCAGAGGTGGGCAAACTTTTTGGCCTGAGGACCACATCTGGATATGGAAATTGTATGGCGGGCCATGAATGCTCACGAAATTCGGGGTTGGGATGCGGGAGGGGGTGAGACCAGAAATGAGGAGTTCAGGATGTGGGAGAGGGCCCCGGACTAGGGCAGGGGATTGGGGTGTGAGGGGGGGGTGAAGGCTCCAGCTGGGGGTGTGAGCTCTGGGATGGGGCTGGGGATGAGGGATTTGGGGTGCAGGAGGGTGCTCTGGGCTGGGACCAAGGGGCTCAGAGAGCAGGAGGGGGATCAGGGCTAGGGCAACCTTTGACTAATGTTGGGCACAGGAGGGGATCAGGGGGTGCAGGCTCTGGGCGGTGCTTACCTCAAGCAGCTTCCAGAAGTAGCGGCATGTCCCCACTTTGGCTCCTATGTGGAAGCGCTGCCAGGTGGCTCTGTGTGCTGCCCCATCCGCAGGTGCTGCCCCTGCAGCTCCCATTGGCCGCAGTTCCTGGCCAGTGGGAGCTGGAGGGGCAGCGCTTGGGGCGGGGGCAGCATGTGGAGTCCCCTGGCTAGGAGGACGCGTAGGAGCTGGAATGGGGACATGCTGCTGCTTCCGGGAGCCATGCCATGTGTGGAGTAGGACAAGCCCCAGACCCCACTCCTCGGCAGGAGCTCAAGGGCCAGATTAAAACATCTGAAGGGCTGGATGTGGCCCCCAGGCTGTAGTTTGCCCACCCCTGCTTTCGATGCTTCAGAAAAATAAAAAACCTTTGACTAATGTTGTCTGGTAACCAGGGCCGATGAGAGGGGGGAGAAGCCGGTACAAATTACTGGGGCCCGGTGGTCCGGAAGGGGGCCCGGGGCCCGGTTCCCCATCCCCCCCCATTGGCCCTATTTAGCCGGTCCACCCTTGCTAGGGGGCCCAAAAAAATTCCAGGCCCAGCTTCCCCCCTCTCTCGTCAGCCCTGTTTAGCCAGTCCGCCCTTGCTGGGGGGCCCGAAAAATTTTTTCATCGGGGCCCAAACCCACTTTCGGCGGCCCTGCTGGTAACTCTCAAATCCTATATTTACTGGGGATTTTCACTTCTTTGTCTTTCTATTAAAAGGGTCATTTGCATGATTGAATACACAGGAACTTTGCACGAGGCTTTCAGCAGCTTTTTTACTAAGCATATCACTGAATGTTAACAGCTGTGGCAAGCTAGGAACTTCATGGCTATCATTATGCTGCACGCTGTGGCCACTCAGATCTTCACGGTGACAGCAAGGATAAAACTTTATCAGCTTGATCCAAAAGCCCAAGCCCCCTATACTGGGTGCTAAAAGAGGATCCTAGCAACAGAGGACTTGAGTGTATGTGTATCTATGGATATAAATCTACTTACACAGAGAAATCTGTCCATTAAAAAACAAAAATACACATGCTTACTGAAATGATAGATATCAAATTAGGAATTGAACTGGGGACCTCTAGACTCTAGTAGGGACTGCAACGAACTTGTATCCTTTGCAGATTGATTGTGCATTTTTCCATGGTATGTGTTTAGGAAGAGAACCTGTAATTAGCTCTGATGGGTGGGCTATAGTAGTTCATTACAAAATGTTTCCAGTCGTTAAAGAGTTAAAGCTCAGGGCTATGGACCTGGCTTATTTGCCAAAGGTCATACATTCTTGCTAGGGCTAGTTTGAATATTTTCATCTAAACTTTTTTTTTAAAGGAAATATGGCTTTTGGATACCACACAACTATTGTTTCTATTTTTGTTGACGATTTGCAGCGTTTTTCATTAAACTGAAAAATGTTTGTTTTCAAAACCAAACGCCAAAATGTTCTCAGTGAAAACCCCGAAAAAATCCGTGAGAAACATTGACCAAAATAAAAGTTTTTTTTTCATTTTTTCCCTAAACTTTTCACAAAAAATTAAAATGCATTTCTGGACCCGCCATGATTCTAATCCTGAAATGATGTCTTGCTGTGTCAGGTGCTTCCCCATAACTCTATTAACTATTCATGATTAACAGCTTCCCTCTCCACTTCATGCTATCTAAAATTAGCTTGTAAGCTCTTTACGGCAGTATCCTTTGATTTGTTCTGTAAAGCACCTAAGGCACTTTTGGACTCCACAAAAATAATAACCAACAACAGAAAAACGCAGGCTGATGTTTATAACAAAAAAACCCAGAAGTTACCTGTTCATGTAGGATGGCATAATTGTGATCCCAATAAAAAAGTACATCATCACTGAGCATGCAACCATTCCTAGTCCCAGGCATAATGCCCTGGTCTCCCCTCGCTTCTGTGAGGTCACCAATTTTTTCCCCAACATGATTTAGTGTTGTGGATTCTGAAATTTCTCGTTCTGAAGTGAAACATAAAAACAGGAGAAAATGCAACCAGAATCATCATAGATTTAGTATTAATTTAATATAAACTCTTAAGAGGCTTTGATTCAAGATATTGCAAATCGTGAGGGGTTTAGTGAAACCTGATCCATTACATTCTTATTCTCATTAAAATTTAGAAGGCAGTCAAGTAAGTCCAGTAAAAGAAAATACTGACTCCAATTTAAAAAAAAAGGCTCCAGAGGTGATTCCAGCAATTACAAGCCAATAAGCCTAACTTTAGTACCAGGCAAATTGGTTGAGACTGTAGTAAAGAACAGAATTATCAGACACATAGATGAACACGGTTTGTTGGGGAAGAGTCGAGATGATTTTTGTACAGGGAAATCATCTCACAATCTACTAGAATGCTTTGAGGGGGGTCAACAAGCATGTGGACAAGGATGATCCAGTGGATATAGTGTACTTAGATTTTTGAGAGAGCCTTTCACAAGTTCCCTCACCAAAAGCTCTTACGCAAAGTAAGCTGTCCTGGTATAAGAGGGAAGGTCCTCTCATGGATCAGTAATTGGGTTAAAAGATAGGAAACGAAGGGTAGGAATAAATTATCAGTTTTCAGAAAGCAGAGATGTAAATAGTTGTCTCCCAGAGGTCTCTATTGGGACCAGTACTCTTCAACATATTCATAAATGATCTGGAAAAATGGGGAAACAGTGAGGTGGAAAAATTTGCAGATGATACAAAACTACTCAAGATAGTTAAGTCCCAGGCAGACTGCGAAGAGTTGCAAAGTGATCTCACAAATCTGTGTGACTGAGCAACAAAATGGCAGATGAAATTCAGTGTTGATAAATGCAAAGTAATGCACATTGGAAAACATAATCCCAACTATACATACAAAACAATAGGATCTAAATTAGCTGTTACCACTCAAGAAAGATCTTGGAGTCATTGTGGATAGTTCTCTGAAAACATCCACAGCAGCAGTCAAAAAAGTGAACAGAATGTTGGGAATCACTAAGAAAGGGATAGATAATAAGACAGGAAATATCATATTGCTTCTATATAAATCCATGGTATGCCCATATCTTGAATACTGCATGCAGATCTGGTCATCCCATCTCAAAAAAGATATATTGGAACTGGAAAAGGGACAGAAAAGGGCAAAAAAAATCATATGGGGTATGGAACAGCTTCCATATGGAGAGAGTAATAAGACTGGGACTGTTCAGCTTGGAAAAGATGACGGGGGGAGGGGGGATATGATAGAGGTCTATAAAATCATGAGGGGTGTGGAGAAAGCAAATAAGTAAGTGTTATTTACCCCCTCTCAGAACACAAAAACTAGGGGTCACCAAATGAAATTAATAGGCAGCAGGTTTAAAACAAACAAAAGGAAGTATTTCTTCACACAACGCAGAGTCAACCTGTGGAACTCTTTGCCAGAGGATGTTGTGAAGGCCAAGACTGTAACAGGATTCAAAAAACTAGATACATTCATGGAGGATAGGTCCATCAATGGCTATTAGCCAGGATGGTCAGGAATGCAAAACAATGCTCTGAAGTGTCCCTAGTCTCAGTTTGCTGGAAGCTGGGAATGGGATGGATCACTTGATTACCTGTTCTGTTCATTCCCTCTGAAGTACGTGGCATTGGCCGCTGTTGGAAGACAGGTTACTTGGCTAGATGGACCATTGGTTTGACCCAGTATGGCTGTTCTTATGTATTGTACTGTGTGAAATACCCAGTTTGCCAAATTCAGTGTTACAGGGGGTCATGGACTATGTTGCCTCTAAGCTGTGCAGTTGGACGTCTGCCCAGGAGTGATTCAAGTGCCAGCAACGTGTGTTAAGGTGCCCCTACCCCTGCTGCCCTGCAGCCACGTTGCTCCTGCCCTCTGCCTTGGAGCCCTTGCTGCTCCTGGGACCCTCCTGCTGGTTGTGCAGAGCAGGGGGAGGGCTATGCTGATGTCCGGGTGTCTCCCTCGCCCTGTACTCTATCTCTGCAGAGCAGGGGAGAGGGGACATGGCTCAGGACTTGGAGCAGGAGAGGGTCTGAGGTCTGAAGGAGCCTTCTGGGCGGTGAGTGAGTGCCTTAAAGAGACAGCACAAGGTCTCTGAGAGACTTCCCCAGCAGCCAGCACACACAATCTCTCTCTTTCTCTCTCTCTCCCCCCCTCCTGCCCACATACCCCACCTTGCAGAGCTGGGGGAGGGGAGACAGGGCTCAGAAGCAGCAGAGCTTTCAGTGAGAGTGCCTTAAACAGACAGCACATGCTGTCTCTTAGAAACTTCCCCAGCAGCCAGCACACACCCTGTTTCTGTGACTCACTCACTCACCTCCCAACACATGTATTATTGTTGTTGTTACTTCTTTGTACTTCCTGCAATGCACATATATTCTGGGTAATTTTATTCTTTCAAAGTGCTGTTATTTTAGTTTTTTGACTGGTCTATGCATTTCATAATTTTTATTTCTCTCTTATACTTAAATTTAATTATTTCAGAAGTGAGTTCTAAAATGCAGGGCTTTGGAGCGGAGCCCGGAGCTGGAGCCCGGAGCAGCTCCGGAGCAGTGGAGCTGCAGGTTTTTTCCTGGAGCTGGAGCGGAGTCGGAGCACAGCTCCAAAGCCCTGCTAAAATGTCTAAGCTGTCCTGGTTGGAGTAATTATCCCTAGGGGTAACTTTTAAATATATATATTATATCTAGTTTTTTTATTATTAGTTATTTCTACTGGTAGCACACATCTGCACATTGCCTCAATGCACATAACAAAATTTATTCTGCACATGGATGGAAAAAATTAGAGGGAACATTGGTCATGGACGGTGTATATGGATATATATTCTAGGGTTGTATGAACTATTGGCAACAAAATGTGGAAACTTCAGAAAGAATCCATGGTAATACAAATAGTAATGATGATGGTGGTGGTAATGCTACAAATAAGCAGTTAAGATTGGGATCTTATTCTAAACAAGAAAATAAATCTAAACCATGGAGAATGCAGTGAAGATTAATATTGATTATTAGGAATAATGGTGAGGTAGGAATAGCATCATGATGGTCAAGGAGAAGGGATTCCGCTAGGGCCAGGTAGTAACCATGGTTCTATTTAGTATTTGTGTCAAAGCACATTCACCGCTTAAATACAGTTGTCTGGTTTAGTTATTTGGTACAGTAACTTGCAAACCGTGAAGCCGGTAGCGCTCCAGCAAAAGACGCTCGGGGGACCCCGAGTGCGTGTGGCTGCAGCAAAACTAACAACTTGCACCGAGATGATGTCACAGCGGGCGACCCTCCCCCCCACAAAATTCGGAGAGCCTTAATGTAGTTGAAATACACTGAACTGCAGATTTTTGGATTGACAGAATGGAAAAAATAGTAGCTATTTTGCTAAAAATTAAGGACAGCTGTTAGTGTACAGCTGTCCTGTTCTGGCACTGCATTTCTGACTATACCACTGCCTCATTCGGTGACCCTGGGCAAGTCACTAAGGCCTGCTCTACACACAGATTTTGTGCCAGGGTACCTATTTTGGTTAGGGGTATAGTGTTTTTTAAACCAATTTAGTTATCCCAGTACAACCCCAAGTGTGGATGTAATTCTATACTGGTACAAGCACTTTGATACCAAGTCCATGCCAGGAAGTTGTCCCACTTTCATTATACTGGTACTGTTAAAATGAGAGAATTTTCATGCACCACCAAGGCCTTACACTCGATCTGTTTCCACCTATTTATGATTTTCCACTTACCGCTTTGTGATGCTCTGAAGGAGCTCTACAAGCATAAAGTATTTTTAGGGCTGTATATCACGAGTGGGGTGACCTTTGCCTCGCCTCACAAGATATGAAGGTGCAAGACCTGGGTAACATTTTCCCCTGGGTCATGGTTTACGGACAGGGCTAACAGGGCACGCAGCAGCCCGATTGATTTTCACCAGTTCAATTCAGGAAAATAAACGGAGACACGGGAGGGGGGAAGGGGGGGATCCTGCCCCGCAGACACACCCCAACAACATCCTCCAGGCAGCTCAACCCGACTAGTGGCTCCTCTCATGCCCCAAGCTCGCCAGCCGCCCCGGCCCCCCAGCTTGCCCCGTGACTGGTGCCCAGGGCCGGGGGTGCAGCTCCAGCCCCGGGGGATGCAAATCTGGACAGTGCCGGCTCCCCCAGCGAGCCGCCAGGTGGTACCGCAACGTGCTGGAGTCCACAACCCCCCCCCCCCCCGAGGGCGCCCCCCAGCCCAGCGCTGGCTGCAGAGTGGCGCCCAGAGACACCCCCCACCCAAAGGACCGGGACCCGCACCCCCCCTCCCCTGAAGGCTAGCCATCTATTTACTATCTAAAATGTTAACTCTTTAACAGCCATCTGGTTTTATAGCCCTTGGAGTACTCTATTCTGGCCTGCATTAAAAAGAGAAGTGCCACTTTCCCTGGCCTCCTAGGAAGAGGGCTCCATTTAGTGACCTCAGAGAGATTATTGCCAGTTTATTGGTAATGCAGTTCATGCATAGAATAAATAACAGGTAAATAAGGAGAGACAATCTGTATAGAATCATAGAGCCATACATTCAGGTAGTTCGCGGGGGGAGGATTAACTCTTGACAGCAAAGCTACAGGAGCCTGTACAGTCACCAGCATTTTGAAATGGAATTATGGACCCATAATTCAAAATTTGCTCTCTTGTTTTTAGTTTATAGATTTTTAAACCAGTTTGGATCCTTTTTCTTCCAGGTACTGGCATTTTGCCTCCTCTGACCTCCTGCCCTGCTCCCCACCTCATGTCTTGTGCAGTTTTATGTGGTGTGTCCTGGCTTGCGTATTTGGACTGATGTTCAAGATTTTGGACTGATGTTCAAATTTTCCTTTCCCTACTTTTGCATCTCCAAGCCCTCTTTTGCTTACTAGTCACTGTTAGGTGGTTTTGCCCATAATATTGAGAGTCACAGCAATCCCCATTCCTGAGAGACCCAATTATAACCCCTTGAAATCGAAAGTAAAAATATTACAAGAAAGCAAATGAAGTTTCTGATCCCATTCTGTGTATCTGGTATTTACAGTAAAGAGTGATGCTGAACCAAAGGAGAAAAGACAAAGTTTTACATCTCACCACCATATAGGGCTCCAATCCAGAGACCTGGGTAGCTATACCACTACTAGTTTATATCACGTTTGACATACATGGGATGTAAATTTGATCATGTGATTAAAGCATTGTTCATATAACAAAACAAGACTGGAGGAAAAAGCTGGATATTTTTTATGTCAAAAACTGTAAAGTAGGAGTGAGATGTCAGAGAGTAACAATTGGCTAGCTTTGATTTCTAATGCTTTATATAATAATTTGAACAACTGCTCTTATTCAGTCTGGTATCTCTAATATATTTCTAGAGTACTTTTTCTGAACACTCCCTAATATGATACTGCACCCTATTTGGCCATTTGAGACTGGGATTTTAAAAAAGTCTGAGAGAGGTGCCCAGTTACCTTTAAGGCATCCAGATCCCTTAAACTCTTTGAAAAGCCCAGTCACAGTGCTCCTGAAGCTAAGGACATTTGCTAATGAGTACTGGCCCCGAAAGAGCAGCAGTTTCCCCACTTTGTGTTATTTACAAGCTATTAGCATCATGCCTATTGAAATATTCAAGTAACTTTATGATGTATATCTGTGAGAGGAAAACTAGATAACGACTTCCCCTACCTTAAAAGTTAGCTGTGTGTCTAGAAGTGTTCCTGTATATTTATAAAAGCTGTTTCTTCTCAAAAGCCAAAGCTGTCCCAGACATTCCTAAGGCAAAACTTTCTCTCAGTGATACTTACGGTCACTGGCGAATGCTGCTCTTTCGGCGTCTTTAGCTCATGACATAGTTTCTGTTGTTTGACTGATCCTGGTAGGTGAAAACCTTTCCACACCAGTGATGAAACAGCAAAACCTAGAGTTAAAAACTTTCCTTTCCAGGACTCCTCTGGGTTTGTTTTGCTCTGGCTGAACTCTGAGCTTATTTCCTTATTATGAAGATTCCTATTACCATAAATGGTAAGGTATGAACGGATGCAGTCCTCTTAAGATTAATTGCTGAAAAGTAGAAAGCCACAATGTTCAGAGGCCTGACTCTCCTTTCCACTACAGCTCCTTTCCTGTGCTCTGGAAGTGTGAAGGTAATTCAAAGCAGGTCTGCTTAAGTTCTCTTTACACTGCCAGGGCACTAGAAATTGACTTTAGTGTAAAAGAGAATCAGGCTCTTTGTGTTCAATCTAAAAGCAATGACCTGCTACCAATGACAATTTAAAAAAATAATAATACATTACACACATGGGCAAGAAAAGTAAAGTAAGCAACGAGCATGGATTTAAAACCTTTTCTGAACTTATATTCACTATTCGGAAGTTAGCTAACTGAATTTAAGTTTTACTTTTGGAGTTAAAGGAGCCTGACCTTTTTCTAAAGATCAAAATGCCAGGGCGGTATGTAAAAGCTGAGCACGTGATTACCGTTGCATATGCAATCTATGCTTCAGAGGTAGATGCTTATCTGGATCTCTACATGCATAAATTTAGATGCAGAATTGCAGTACATGTGTATTTAATATGTCACACAGTCATACTTAGCCTCCTGATATTTTGAAAATCCGGCCTTCAGAGAATTTAGACAAGTAATAAGTAACAGATTGATACAGAATGAAACTAGTTCTACACAGAACCAGCATAATGCAGACAGCAATAAAACCAGCATTCCTTTCCAGTGTGCCTGAGTCTTAATTTTGGACAGTCATGCTGAGTTGAAACTTTCAGGAAGAGTGCTTTAGTGGCAATAGTGGAGGAAATATTCTTTTTTATGTTGACACCTTATTGTCAGTAGGTCTTGAGTTAAGTCTGACTGTTCTTTCCATATAGGCCACAGAAAAGTCACCAGATGTTAATCGTTTTTTGTTTCCATTGATTTTGGTCAGAGTTGAGCTAATGGACAATGGAATTGCAGCAGTGTAAATCAGAACAGAGTTCTGCAAAATCAATTTTTTCTTGTAATGCTTTTATCTAGCTCCCAGTGTGATGCTAAAGGACGAATGTGAGCCTTGGAAATATAAGCAGGGGAATATTAAGTAAAAGCAGGAAGGTGGTGTTACCTCTATATACAGCTTCATTGAGACTATTACTGGATTATTGTGTCTAGTTTAGGTGTCCAAAAAGATGTTAAAAAAATTGGTTCAGAAAAAAAGCTTTAAAGAATGAGGTCTAGAAAACATGCTTTCTAGTGACAGACTAAAGAAGCTCAAACTATTTAGTTTATCCAAGAGAAGCTTAAGAGGTGACTTGATTATGGTCTACAAATATCTACATGGAGCGGAGATTTCTGATGGTAAACTACTCTTTAATTTAGCAGAAAAAGTCATAACCTGCTTCATAAAGTAACAATCCAGTGGGTTGGAAGCTGAAGTTTTACAATTTGGACTAGCAATGTGGTGCAAATCTTTAACAGTGAGGATAAAGCCATTGGAAGAAACTTACTTAGAAAGATAGTGGATTCTCTATTTACCACTTCATATCAAGACTGGATATCTTTCTAAAATACATGGTATAGCTCAAATAGAAGTTAAGGGCTTGATGCAGAAAAACATTGGGTGAGGTTTTTTCCTGGTGTTTTGCAGGAGGTCAGAGTAGATAATCACAATGGTCTCTACTAGCCTTAAAACAGATGAATCTTCATTTCTTGCTGTCCTTTCTCCTCATCCCAATCTCATCATGTCTACAGACTAATGCACTCAGGTTGATTTTAGTTAAAGCATAGATTCACAGATTCCAAGGCCAGAAGGGCCCAATGTGATCATCTAGTCTGATTTCTTGTATAACACAGGCTATAGAATTTCCCAAAAATTATTTCTAGAGCAGATCTTTTAGGGGGAAAAAATTCAATCCGTACATGAAGGTGTTTCACTGCAAAAGCAATGGCAAAACTTGTGCACTTCCCAAGCAAAATACTGCTAGAGTGAAAAACCAAGATTCCACTCATTGTAGTTGGGAATAGATACTTTTAGCATTTGACTGTTTAGCATCAGGCTGCTGTGGCCATGGTTAAAGTTGACGCCTTAGACTTGAACTATGCTGATGCTCTAGTTCCATTGTTAAAGGCTCCCTGTCCCCTCTTGCTCATATGTCTGTGGTTGTTACGCAGATATTCATGTATGGTACGGTCTCTCTCTCTCTCTCTCTCACACACACACACACACACACACACACACACACACACACACACACACACACACACACACACACACACACACGATATATATACTA